TTAGAAAAAACTTTTTGAACATACAGGACAGCGCTATTACCCCAGCAAAGCCTAGAACACTGAGAATGAGAAACATTCTCGGCTTCCCAGAAATAATACATACAGTACACAGTGCAAGCAGCCAATTAAGCGCTCAAACACTAACAAAACTGAGAATATTTTTCTGTCTATAGCCAGGTACCCACTCTCACCAGGATGAAAAGGAGAAAATTCACGTAAATCACCATCCCCTCAGACACAACGTCGGGCACCTGCCATGGTTCGAACCCTCAACCTATCGGTTACGAGTTCAACAACCTAGTTACACATTAGATTACAATCTGAGAGACATTAACATACACATGCCCCCCCCCCCCCCCCCTTTCCCATTTTCAGAGCAGAGACAGATACATGTTATAATTTCAAAGTCAAAGACCCTTGCTACACACTGAATAAACTGCTACATTTTGTGTACTGTTTTACTGTCCCCGTGGTTTTATGCACCCCCCATAATTTAGCAAAATTTGATCATTTTTTAGGGTATAATTTCTTATTATTTTCCTTTATCATTCTTTGTTAAAATTAACAGAATCGCATAATTTCACATTTTTGGGCTCAGTTTACATAATTTCAGAATTCTTTTGGAATAAAACTACGGGGACAGGTTTAGGTTTTAGTAAGAGTCAAGAGTTTTACGGCGCTTGCAACTGCATGAAGTCATATATTATGAGCGCAAGAAAAAAAAGGCTGGTTCTGCTCGCGACAGTACACTGCACAGCCCGATTCCTGTCAACACCTCAATTAAAATAAAATGCTAAAATACAAAAAAAAATTGATGTCAATCAATAAACTAATTAAAAATAACTTTTAAATAACATAATTTTTTTAAACAATTCAGTTCACGACTTCCCATGAAGGCCAATGGGCTTTATAAAATTCAGAATTCTGTTGGGATCAACGACGGAAAACAGATCTTGCAATTTTCTGAATCCAAAGCACTTCCTTAGGGTCTCTCCGAAATCTAGACATTCTGTTAAAATGCGTCCAATGATAAAATCGGTGTCGCATCCGACACAGAACGGCAATTCTCATCTCCATGAAGGAGGTATGTCAGGGCCGTGTGTCCGATGGGTAATCGAGTAAAATGACTTCGTCTCTTCTGGAGAGGCCCGAAGGTTTTCATGGACTCAGTTTGGGCTTAACTTAATGTTGTGGAGTTGGTCGTTGGTTTGATTCCTCCAATGAGTCTCCCACAGACCGGAGGTGTAGTCAGAGACCGCATACACGGTCTTTGGTGTAGTTTTTTTTTTTTTACTTTATTTTTAAATTAGTCAGTCTGTGGGAGAGTGTTCGTCGTTGATCCCAACAGAAGGGACAAGGATTCCTTCGCAAGGAGACCCAGGCTACCTGCTCGTTTCCTCGGATGCCTACATGGCTAGGTAGCCATGCGAACACGATACTTTACCCGGTTTCGGTCAAAGCGTGTATTTTTTGTTGCAACCTAACTATTTTTGTGTGTAATAATAATAATAATAAATAGCACTTGTATAGCGCATGTCCGCACTCGAAAGCAAGCTCTATGCGCTTTACACTACATGTAGGCCTATATGTATATTATTACCCCAGCTGACATAGAACACTCACAGTACAGTCTCAGCTTCCCGGGAAGCATACAGTGCAAGCAGCTGGTTAAGCGCTCAAACACTGACAAGATTTTTCACTGTCTGTAACTGTAACTGGGTAGCCTACGCATTTTCACCTCGGTGAAGTGGGGAAAATTCGTGTAAAGTGCCTTTGCCAAGGACACAACGTCGGGCCCGCGGCTCGAACCCCCAAACCCGCAACCTCACGATTACGAGTCCGGTAGCCTAACCGGAGGGTGTAGTTTGTAAGTGTGAGGTGGTGCAACAGAGTCAGAAAGGATAAGCAAAGATTTGTTAGGAGAATTTTCTACGGAGTCTGTCAATGGCAGTATTGGCAGTGGCCTCCGCAGAGAAAATGGAAGCTTCGGGGTGGAGTCTCCTCTGGTGTGTACTGTTTGAAGAGATGGCTGCGGCGCCCACAGCAGAGTCCGATTGGAGCCATCTGTGAAGATAAGCTCCGCACCGGGTATTTTTCTATAAGTTTTTTTGTATTCTGCTTTAAATGTTTTGGTACATGTATTTCAATTTGTGCTTGCTTTGTAGTGTGTGGTCAGCTGCTGTGTAAGTCTACTTTTGCCTTGGTGAGGAGCCACGGAGGAAGGTCAGGGAAAAAGAAATTGTTGGAAGTCTTGTTTGGAAAAGTGTATGTTTTTGAGGTCCTCAAGGACTCTGAGGCCGAAGGGTTTGATGAGTTTTTCGTCGTTTTTTAATTTGTTTATGGTGTCTGGGTTTGTTTTGAAAATGCAGTCGTGTGCTGGGTTCTCTGGTGTTGAGCTTTGTTTAATTGCGTATTGTTACTGTAGTGAGAGTTGTGAGTGTCTGATTGCGAGTGATGGTATATTTGAATTATTTGCCTCAGCCTGGAGGCTCTCCACTGGAGAAGTGCGGAAAGCCCCCCAGAGTGAGGCGGAGTCCATGGTTTTGCACTGGGTCTAGCATTTTTAGTATGTGTGGTTTTGCCGATCCATAGACTTTACAGCCGTAGTCAAGCCTGGATCGGACAAGGGAGATGTATAAGCGGAGAAAGTGTTTTGAGTCCCCGCCCCACTCCGGATGCGACAAATTTTTCAAAGCGTTTAACACTTTCTGGCACCTCACACAAAGGTCTTTTATGTGTGGTATAAATGCGAGTTTCTTGTCAAATATAATGCCAAGGAAACGAGCCTGGTTCTGGACGGGAATCCTTTCCCCGTAAAGTGTGAAATCCAGTTGCAGCACACGTCTGCCAGATATTTTAAAGATCCTTTGACTGCTACTGTGTAGAGTGGGGAATCAAAGCCACACAGGAGAAAAAACAACCAAAACTATTGAGACCAAAATCTGAAAAATATGATTTTGAACACAAGATTTGTTGCAAATGTTACCCTTTTTATAAAAAGAAACAAAAAAGACATTGCACGCTCAGCAGAAATAGCTTGTGGAAACATTGAATAATACTTGAGTGGACTCCGCTTGTGTTGATTTTCGTTTAAGTTTAAGTTGATCTTTTTCTCGGGTCCCAGCCCCTCTCCTTCTTTAGGATCCCCATTGGTAAAGTTGAACTTCTGATGAGTTCATCTATTTTTCATTCCCCCAACGACATCAACTCATCTGTAGTCTACTGTATAAGTTTGTTTACTGCTTTTACCAATTATCTCATAAATCGTAAGTGAATTTAAAAGCACACAGTTTTCAAATAAAAAAACTATAATCTATACACAAATGAAGGCAAAAGCGTTTCAGTAATAAGAGATTTGTTTTCATTTATTTTTTAAGACTCATAAGACTCAGAAATACAAGCAAATCATTCTGCATTCTCACTTTTAATAATTTTCCCCGTAAGGCTTTTTTACCCATGCAAAACAAGCAAATAGACTCATGATCACACTGAAAGATCTGTCAATAGGGAAAAAAAAACAAATTTCAACAAAATAAAATAATTAACATCAGGTTTTTTTTAGGTCTACACAAAAATTTAAAACCCTGAAAAGAAATAACACCACAAACTAAAGAACTCTGTTACACATGGCCATCTTGTCAGAAATCTGGCAGCTGATATTGTTATTGGGCCTGAGCTACAAAAGAACTGTGCCAGAAGTAGGTCCTTCTCCGTACTACCTCATGATCATGCTTTGGAGACTGTTTCCCGTGACAGAACTAAGATGTCTGCTACTGCTAGTGCTAGGGATTGGAACTTAAGAATATTACATGTAATAATAATGCACTACACAGATTCAAATCAACCATAAAATGCAAGCAGAACATTATAACAATAGCAGTAAATAATTTTCCATCAAAATAAGAAAAAGAATCAATGAGTCTGAGTTTATAAGATCCTTTGAAGTACAAGTTTACAAAATGAGAAACTTTCCTTTTATGAGTAGATTTTCCCAACAATCCCAACTCTTCAAAATGTCTATATACAGTGGAAACCATATATAACAGGCCCGGTAATAACAGGAATCCGGTAATAACAGGGATTTTTTAAACCTCCGATTTTTCCTACTCTTTTTCTATATTAAAAGTTATTGGCAATAACAGGGCCTCATCAGAGCTCAACCGGTTATAGCAGGGACAAAGGCTCGTTAACAATGTGTAAAAAGAGAGAGAGAGAGAGAGATTGAGAGAG